AACTTGAAAGGTGATGCAAAAATTCCAGCAATGATTTCTCCTTCTCCAACTATTAACTTCAACTCAAGATTAGTGTGCAGTTTGATCTTCAAGTCCTCCAACACCATGCCAAATTTCACCTTGATACGACTAGTAGATCTCCAAATATCATAGAAATCCTATCCAACCCCAAACTACCAACTTTCAGTATGTTCTTGTATCAAAACCCAAATATCTCCCAATTGCACTATTGGATTATTACAAAATTTCACATACATGTAGGACATCTAATTAACCAAGTACTATCAAATTTTGAATTGTAGATGTGACACCAATTTTACAAACTAGTTGAGAGTGCTAGCCCTAATTTCATTGCATAATTCCCAAGTTGCCAATACAAATCTTGACTTCTATCAACAATATCAAAGTCTCCACAAATTACAGATTGTGAGGTAAAAGCTAACTTTGTTAACAAAGACTTGAATTAGAATTGGGATGGACGACACTAATCTTCGAACCACTTAGTTATTTGGTACCGGTTCATATTTTGTTTCACTCTTCGTTATTGTTGTGGAGACACTTGTTAAATGGACTTTCTGAGATCGACGTGACAACTTTGATTTAGAAGAACACGATACAGTCGACAAGACGCTAGGCAAGGATGCCAGGATCCCAGGAAAAGCAACACGAGCTTTCTCCACGTTTCACTTCGTGTCGTTGCCTGTGGAAGGAGCTGAATCTCTAACCTCCCGATTGGAATCTGAAGTTTCATACTACACGATCACCTAGTACCGCTATTCCAGGCCGATGCCGAGAACTTGGCACACGGCCAGCCAGTTGATTTGCGAGTAAGTACGAATGTAGATAGCGCGTGCCTGAAAAGATCTCTCTCGCAATTCGAAACCATCACTGCACTGCGATGCATTCATCGAAGGCTTTCTTTTCTCCTATCCCCACGTCATGAAGTTCAATACATCCCCCACTCGCTGATGCACCTGGCATCATCAATCGTACCCTACACGACGGGTTCAGAGATTTCGCTCAACATTTGCAACTGAGGTCGCTGCTAATCGTTGCGATCTGAAAGTTTGACGACGATGGATGCACACACACACACTCACTCAAAGGCTCATTCGCAAGCGCCCACAATGATGAAGCTGTTATTGCTGCTGCTTGTGTGTGCAGAATGATTCCATGTGTAGGCGTTGTCTGCAGTGGCCAGGCTATGGAGTTTGAAGCCAGTGCCGAAGCCGAGAGGCTTCACTAGGAGGTTCTAGAAGGTTTTTGAGACCAGCCTCCAGATTTAACAACTTGCTTGAAGAGTAGTAAAAGAGCTCAGTTTGTGAAAGTAAACAGTTTTTTTGCTTTTTAGTTTTGTTTTTGTGTGTGTTTTTGTTGGAAGAAGAGACAGGATGGAAAGTTGTGAAACATAACGGACTTTGAAACTCTGAAAACAGTTAAGATGTTTATCGATTAACTGCTGGTCGTGAATTTGCAATTTTAACTATGAATTGAACTTGAGAATGTTGAGGATGAAAAGCATTAAATTGTTTGTGGTGGATGTTTTGATATGTGTTGCACTGTTGCTGTTCTTGATTCAAAACCAAATGAACTTAATGACAACAAAAAAACCATTTATATGGTACAAAATTTAATTTAAAAATGTTACTCGTTTGTCACATTTACTCAAAGTTAGAGAGAGAGAGAGAGAGAGAGAGAGAAAAAAAAAAAAAAAAAAAAAAAAAAAGAGGACAAAGACAAGAATTCTTAGTCTTGGAATTGATTGTAATGGAACTCCTAAAATTCTAACTCTTGGGGCCTTTATTCTTATTATGATATTCTGTTCATTTTAAGCATACAACAAATATCTATTTTCTAAAATTCTTTTTGAAAGTTGAAATTTGCTCATTAGTATTTAACCAGATTCTGTGTTGAGTTACTCCACATGCACATGTGTTATTCTTTTACAATCACATTTCAAACTCTTGTTTGTTTTTTCTTTTCTTTTTTTTTTTTTTTTTTTTTGGTCATCAATATATGTTTCGAATTAACATTTTGAAATTTTGATATCAGTTGTTACCTATCTTCACCCAATGAAGCTTTTGAGTAAAATATAAAATCACATCAAAATTCATAGGCACATTTTTGAACAAATCTTGGATGTATTCAAACTTTTCATGTTAAATTTTCCAATGAAAATACAATCACGCACTTAGATTTTACATGAAGAACATCATTCTACCTTTCAGGTTTAAATTCAAAATAATATTTTGCTATTATCACAATAATACAACTTCAAAACAATCCTCACAAAACCAAATATCCCAGATCCTATTCCTTTCAAATAAAAACCCTTGAAGTCATTTCCATGAACAAAATTATACCCACATCAACACCTATATTTATACAACACCCCTTTCTTTCCTTCCTTCTTCCTTTTTAAAAAAATATTGTAATCACCATTAGTATTATTCTAAAAATAAAAATAAAAAAAAAATAAAAATAAAAAATTTGTCATTCAACCAAGTCCTTATTTCCTCAAGGATACAACTTCAAAATGTTGGAATATGTCATATTATCATTAAATCTAAACCCTAAAACCATGATTCAAGGTGTATTTTATATGGTGGATCTAATTGTAAAATATCAAGTGTGTGTGTGTGTGAGAGTATTCCCAAATCCTTTTGGGTGACCCAAATGGGCAGAAATGAGTTGCAATTCAAAGGCTCATGAGTTCCATATTACGGCGGAGGCAGTTACGGCCGGAATTGTTGGGGACTTCTTAATCTCTCTTGCTCTCTCTCCTTCATCTTCCTTTCTAAGTTATGAGTGGCCAAGGCATGCGGGGCCTCATACAAATGGTGCGGAAAGCATTCCCCATGAGTACCAAAAGGGATGCACAAAGACGGGAAAAAAGAAAAGTAAAGGGAGAAGCACACACACACATACACACACACAAGTACATAGAAGGAAGCATCATTGATGACAAGTGAGAGAGAGAGAGAGAGAGAGCATCCTTCCTCATCAATACAACGATAAGAACAAAACAAACCAACAAAAAAGAACCATAAAATAAAAACCAAGTAAATCCAAAATCACAATCAAAATTAATCAATTAATTGAATAAATGAAAAGAACCCCCGGGCTTCCATTCTGATTCTCATTGTGCCAATCATTGCCATTGTACTCTGCGAGAGATTGAGGATCCTGTTGGATGAAAGATTGGGTCTCCTCCTCCATCTCTTCATTCGTAGATGAATAACTCGGGGTTCTGTTACTACTCATCCATCCATCCCCACCCCCATTGGTTCCTCATATATATATATATATATGTATGTATGTATGAATTAGTAAACAACATTGATAATAATCCATTTTTGAAATCGTTTTATAATTAGGTACCTTGTTAGAAACTATCTTGACTGTTTTTCTTTAAGAAAACTTGATGAAAACGGGGTCGAAAAATGGTTTATGAAGTTTTCATTTTAAATTATAATATAAATAAAACACAAATAAAATGAGACAAAATTGGTATGGCGTACGAGAGAGACTTCGAGAGCCAGATGGTGAAAGATTCCATTCGAGGGAATATTCCAAAGTGGATTCTCCCGCCTTCGAAGGGCTTTTTATTGGTGGACGAATTGGCCAATGCCGTGACGCCAACTGTCGAAACGAATATTCGATTTCCGATATACCGAGGGGTAAAATTACGCTTTGGAATTTCGACATGATTCTGCTCTGTGTGTTACCTCTCCATGTTGGATGGATGTTTCTCATCCATCCATATGTGGATGACGGAGGAATGGTGGGTGCCGAAACTAATTGTGTGATGTTGCTAGCAGCCTGAGTTGTTGAGAAAGTATGAGCACAAGTACATGCTCCGCTGCCTTTAGCCTTTTTTTAACTTCATTAACCTTTTTGTGGGTATTGGGCAGAGGAGAGCGAGGAAGAGAGAGAGCATTGTTTGTTTGTTTGTTTGTTTGTGTGTATATAAATATATATATATATATATATAACATATTTTGTGATTGGAATGATTGAGAGAAGCAAGTGATGCCCAGCACATTGGATTCATGTGAAGACAGTCCCATCATGTTCCTGTGAGCAATGAGAATATGGGCCAATGGCCCTGCTTCTCCAATTATCACACCTACCTTTCACCCCCCCCCCCTCAACCCTAAAAAGTAAAAAGTAAAAGGGCGACACAGATATAGACCCAGTCTGATCAATAAAAGCTACCCAACTTCATGTTGCTGTTTTGTAACCTGTGAGTTTGTAACTTCTTCTACTTTTCGGAAAAGGTATGGAAACAAAGAAGATGGTTCTTAGATGTGATTGAATGTTGCACTGGGGATGATATGAAGGGTTGCATGGTCCCTGAGGTTTGAATTATGCTCTACAGTGTGTTGATACAAACCACAAGGAAAGAAAAAGATGAAAATAAAGAGAAAAGAAATGAGAAGATGGAAGAACAGACGAGGGGAAAAAAGAAGAAGAAGAGACAGAATAGTATTCTCTACTTCACAGCCACAAACAGTGGACTGGTGCCCCAGTTGCTAAATGAGCTCAGAAAGAATAATACTCTCTTTTTGCCCCTTTTTGGGGAAGAAGGGGGGGGTCTTTTCTTGGCTGCACTCAAAATTCCAAAACTGCACATCCAAAACCTTGACTAACTATTTATCATTATTTTTAATGTGTGCAGAAATGAATAATTTCCACATTTCAACTAGAATGACTGACCTTGGGTGTCAAAGCAAGGCAGCTTATGATTATTATTATTGTGAGACCTTGTAATGGTTACAGATGCTGGAAGCTTGGCCATTGGTGGTCCACACCCACCCTAAGATAGAAACACCACATGTGAACAACTGCAGCCACATCCCCATGCTGGAAAGGCTTCGCACTCAGCAACACACTTATTTCTATATATGTATACAAATGTATATATTGGAGCATATAACATGAAGAGACTGATAAGAAGAAGAGTGACCAAGAAACAAAAGAGGAAATGGAGAGAGTTGTGACATGAAATTATGCTCTTCCAACAACTGTTTATACATGGGTAATATTCGAACATAAGAAAGAGGGGGAGAAAAAGGAAGAAGAAAGAGAGAGCACTGGCCAGAGTGATTGGAAATGGCACGTTTTATGTTAAGTGACAGCAATGTATGTTGCTCATTTCAACAACAAAATTCTTATTACTAAACCCCCTTTTTCACGTTTTGTTTTGTTTTGTTTTGTTTTTTGTTTTTCCTACCCTGATGAGAACTGTGAGGTATCTATGAGAGCTTTGAATTGTAGCCCCTCCAGGTGTGTCTTCTAGGGAACTAGGTGTGTTTCTGAGTTTTTGGAATTATACAAAACCTGTAGTTCGAGCGGTACCCAGTTACTGGGGCTGGTTTCTGTTGTGTGTACGATGAAAGATTACAGAAATCAACCAAAAAAATATATAAAAAAAAGTTAAGTGTCGAGAGAATAAAAAGAGAGCGAGAGGGAAGGAAGGAACGAACTTCAGCCAAGCTAGTAGCAGCGCCAAGGCGTGAGTGAAAGCTGCTGCTGCAGCAGCTCCATTCAACTGCCTAGTCAGGCAGAGGTGGGAGTGAGCCCTGGAACCAACGCCATGGTCGCCACCACATGAGGCTTTGGGTGGGCAGTGATCGTGTCGAGAGGCCCACAGGCCCGTTCAAAACTGGTGAACTGGTTGATGCCTTCCATTCGGTTCTCTACCTGGTTGTTGCTGCTCGACTCTTCACCTTGGAGGAAGGCCGCATGCTGCTGCTGCTGCTGCCCCTGCCCTTGCTGCCCAACTGCATCTCCATATGCACTTCTACCTGGGTTGTTTATGATGTTGAAGAAGTTTAAGCTGGGGACAGGCATGTAATTCATGGGTGCGGCTCCTGCCTCCCCCTCTTGTTGCTGCGCTATCTCCTCCTCCTCAACGCACTCAGGAGCAGGTAGATTCAAATCCAACACACTCTCCTTCAGTGGCCTGCTGCTGCTCTGCTGCTGTTGCCCAGCCTGCACTGGCTTAGCGCTCATCACCTCATTAGCGCCAAGGCTTCCACTTCCGGAACCTCCCCAATGGCATCGCTTGTGGCCTCCTAGAGCTTGCCCTGAGTTGAACACTCGGTGGCAGATGGAGCATTCGTGTGCTTTGGCCTTGCGGGCGGCGTAGAGCGCCTCCTCGTCATCCCTGGCTGTGGTCAGGTAGCAGGACTTGTCTTCCTCGCTGTTGTGCGAGGTTTCTTGGAAGTCGTTGGGGAATTGCTCCTCTGATTTGAGGAACTCCTCGTCGTCTGCGTCCATTGACTCCAGACTCTGCTCGTTTGCCCCACCGTCGTTCACATTCGTTCGCGCGAAGCACCCCTTCACCTTCTTGTGGCTGGCTCGGTGCCCCCCGAGAGCTTGATGCGACTTGAATTGTCTCTTGCACGTTGCACACTCATACTTGGACCTTGCACAGCTGCCTTGTTCCCCTGTGATACACAGAGTATTCGACAATTTGTGAATTGCTTCGCCAATCTCATCCCATCATTCTGATAATGAAAAAACACACACACACACGCACAAACAGCCCCTCAGAAGCACATGCAGCATCAGGAGATGTTCAAGGAAAGACTAGAGGTACTGGCGCACCATGGGCGGTTCACAAAATTCAGAGAATTTGAGAGTACCCACCTGCGTCAAATTCATCGGCACCATCTTCAGTATCTCCACATAGACTAACAGCTTCGGTTTCCATCTTCGTTTTCCTTTCCCTTTGAAGGATCTCCTCTGTGCCAGCTTCCAGTCCAGACTCAGGTGTTATTGACTTGCTTCTCGACTTGCTGCCATGTGATTCGGGCGTGGAGGTAACCGTAAGCCTTTCTCTGCTCCTGTTCGCAGCTTGGAGGAGCATGAGAGCCTCAATCATGTCATTCGACTCTGCCATGTTCGCAGCACTATCTCTGCAATTGGAGAGCTCCTTCTTTGCACTGTTGACGGCATCCAAAGAGCGGTGAGTTTGACGAGATCTCTTCGACCGCTTGCCGGTCTGCCATCCCATGACCGTGTGGCGATCGCCATTTGACATGTAGGCAGCTTCAATGCTTTCCGTGTCACTCTCGTTGTCTGAGGCCTTACCAGCCACAAAAGCTCTCCGTGAATCGAAAGACCCAGACTTCTCGTTGACATCATCCGGATGGGTGACAACAGGCGGCGGAGCAAGTGGCGGGGGGAGCTGGGCGACTGGGGATGGCTTCTTCCGCCGAAAATTGGTGTGATTCCCGACTCCACCTGCAGCATGTGGGCCGCTGCCTTGTCCTCCGGGATTGTTCTTCTCAGAAGGGGGCTGGATCCCTCGCCACTCGCGCTCAGGGTGGCATCTCATGTGTCCGAACAAAGCTTTCCACGAAGAGAACTCCTTCCCACACTCTGTGCAGGGCTTTGGAAACTCCTCTGACATGGAGCTCGTCTTCTTCGTGGGAGCTGAGGCTTGCACGGGCACTGCTGCTCCTACATCTACGGTAAACTCCTGGTCCATCAGCTTCCGGCTACGCTTTGGGTTACGTCGCAATGTGTACTGCGGATGAAATTTCTTGTGCAAATTCAGGCTTTTTGCACTCTCAAAGTCCTCGTTGCAAATCCCACATCTGTACCCTGTGCCATCCACCTCGTCTCCGTCTCCGTCTCCGTCTCTTTCTCTGTCACCATCACCATTCAATTCCTCCGAGCTAGAGAACTGTCTGACCTCCTCTGCATCTTCACCTCTCTTTCTAGTTCCCTTCGAATCTGGAGTAGCTCCAGACAGGAGATCCTGACTGGGAGAACACTTCCCTGATCTCTGAGAACTAAGGGAACTAGACCGCGTCTTTGCTGTGTTCAGCTTCCTCAAACCGTGACTTCTGCGGGGACGCGAGAGTGGACGATCCAAAGAACCCTCGTGAATGAGTGATTCGGAATCCTGGTTAGTGACACTCACATTGCCTCTAGAACTGCTGACCTCAGCCTGATGACCATAATCCTCAGTGCCGGACTCTCTCTCAATCAGCTCCCCAAGCTCTGCTTTCACGACATCAATGTTTTCACGTTCTGCCCTTTCCTTATCTGTTTCAAGTGGCTCAATGTCCATACCAGCACATGCACCAAGTTTCTATCGATAAGAAGATGTATTAAATTCAACTTACAAAAACCGTCCCCGACAATCTGTAGCGTTGGCAGAATGTAGAACAAACTAAGTGCGGGGAAGAGAGAAAAAAATGCATCTCACTTCAAGATAAGAAACTGAGCTCACATCGCAAATTGAAGTTGATTTGCAACCGAGAGAGGGAGAGAGAGAGCGAAAGAGAGAGAGAGAGAGAGAGAGAGAGAGAGCGAGAGAGAGAGCGAGAGAGAGAGAGAGAGAGAGAGAATTGAGCTGTAATAGCCCTCACAAGTATACATGGAAGTAAGTAGTCCAAACAAAGTGCCCTCAGATTACTACTCTTCTGATCAAGAGAAGGTGCATGCTATGCACGTGCGCCTGCGAATTCACCGAGCTCACTTCAGTTAAGAGGGTTTTCATGCAGAAAGGGTGCGGGAGGGGATAGCGTGCTAGTAAAAGAGACGTGTGCGAACATCTGAGACCACCTACCTTGAAAATAACGATGACCTCAAGATGAAGGCCAAGAGGCAAGATGCTGGCCGTTACACAAACACTCGAGCTGTGAGAGTTTGTGCTAGTTCCACACGGCCAGCAGTGAGGGAGACTAACCGAGCGTGAAGGGTAGCTCACACTCAGATGCAGAGCGTCATCTGTGAACGTGTGAGCCGTTACAGAGAAAGTAGCCCCTCTCTAACACCCCCAGCTGCGCAAACAATTGATCTTTAAAGAAGAGGAAAACCGACCCTGCGCTCCACTTACCGAACCACGATTGCTCCAAAGAGCAAGTGCGAGACTAAGATCGAGTCCCTTCTCCTACTATCGACCAACACATGACCTTCGTCCAACACAATCAAATTTCCCCCACTATTGAGCTAAGCATATACTCTACAGCTATGCACAGGATTCGATCCGCAGCCGAGGAAAAGGAACAGACGAGTAGAGGAGCTGAACGGGGAGCTCATTCTCAGCGCTTCGGAGGGCAGCGAATACAGGTCACGAGAACGGGAAAGAGGCCGACGACCAGCGCAAGCCGCACACCACCACCGCCCTCCGCGGAGAAAAACAAAACAATCACCGAACTCGGAGCTGTCCAAGCTTCAGCTGAACACGAAGGAAGGTGGAGTATGAAAGGACGCGACGTAAAAAACCAAAAGAATACAGACGACGTGAGCTCCGGGAAGCTCATTTGACGACCAAAAGAGACCGATCACAGTTGCGCAAGATACACGAAGAAAGTGTGTACACTAGATGGTGGACATGCAACCCACTCCATCGCAAAACGAGAAAGCACAGCAATTGGCGACCATCCCGGCGCACCAAAAGCGGAACTCAGAAGCAGCTCCACTTCCCTTACCGCCTCCACAGAATAGTAGGTGAAGAAGGTACGCGGAGGCACTTTCTTAAGAGCCACGGCACTTAAGCTACTTACGATGCGATCGAACTCTAGTTCCAAAAATACCCAGCACTAGTGGTCTTCGAGTTACAGAAATTCCACTCTCTCGGAGGAGAAGAAGGAGGAGGAAGAAGAAGAAGAGTGTGCGCTGAAAAGGAGAGGACACTGTTAGCTCACCTCCAACGGAGACTCCGAAATCCTCCTCCTCCTTAGTCTTGCACGCAGCACTGGGGTCGCTGTTGCGCGCATTGTCGGAAACTGAAATTGCCCCTCGCCTCTCCTCCTGCTCAAGATCCATCCCTCGCTCCTGATCCGTGCCTCTACTCACCTGATCCGTGGACATCTCCACACAATCTAGCTCCCTGTCTGCCTTCTCCAAAGCCTTTTCCTCCATATCAACGCTCTCTTCACCGTCTGCCAAGGTCATGGCGAGCTCTCAGTTCTCCCCCCTCTCTACTATGCTAGCTGAACCTCCACTTCCGCAACAAGAACAACAACGTCCATGTGATGAACCCTACTCGTACCTCGCTACTCCCTGCACTCGCATCACTCCGAAGGTCACTCTCCCTGCACGCACAACAGCTGCCGCCGATGCTGAAGCTGAATAACCCAGGCAGGAATAAGCCCACTCGAGACGCTCGCCAGAGCATGGTCCGCGGTGGAGTCACTAATTGGGCATGATGGTTGGAGTATAAGTTTTACATCTGATGAATGAGCGGAAGACGGAGTTCAAGTGTTGCTGAAACAGGGGCAAGTCTGGGTGGGCGAGAATTGTGGCGCTCTTTCTGCGAGGCCGGTGGGTCCCAAGGCCCGCCTCGCAGCCTCGTCTTCCCTGTCGTACCAAACACACACACAACGCGAACCGTCAGTCTCTCGAGTCCTTTCTTCTCCTCCCAATTTACTCATCTTCGTCTTTACTCATCCCCTCCTTCGCACACAATTCTCTCAACACTGGCCGACAGATCCATCGACACTTTCCCGGCATCGGGAAGAATGCCCTCCCACGGTTTCCATCCTCTGGATGCGAGGAAATCGCGCGCCGATTTGTCGGTACCGCTAGTCGGCCACCACTCGAATTAGTGGGGGTGGAACTGTGACATGCGATTTGCGAAGATCTAATTTAGTCGCTGCGATGCTTGGCTTTGAGCTCACCAAAATCTCCTACAAACACACAACTCACACAGCGAATACAAGCTGAGTTGCCAGCGGGATTGTGACTACTACGCACTGAGTAGTTCGCTTCAGCAACCGGCTCAGTTGTCGCTTGCGTGACGAGCCGACGATCCCCTTCTTGGCATCATTTTCCTTTCTCTCCCCGTCTATTACTCTAGCCTTTTGTCGGCGTGGTCAAGGCGCGGCACAAAGACAAAACCGCCCCCTGCGCTGCGAGCTCGAATCCCAGCAGATTTGCTCCCAGCATAAGTGCCTTTAAGGTTGGCAATCCGACTGGCTGCTCTCACATTCTCGCATGGAGTCACGGAGGAAAGCTGAAATTTCAGCGAAGAAGTGCTAATTTGTCACGGCACGCATTAGCTACGCCGGCTTGGCTGTTCTCTTGGGAAGCGTGACCCCAACCAACCACCCAAGTCAAAGGCAATTGACGTTGTGGCTGACCTTGACAGCACTCGCCGTAAGCATCACAGGTATCGATTCGATGATGGAATCCTTAGTCTCAGCGCGACATTAGTGTAAAATCCAGGTCTTAGGAATGCTAACCTTGACAAACCCAATTATCGGAATCACTCACCCCGTCGACGTCAGAATTGCTGCAATCGATCGCTCACGGAGAGGGCAGCCCAACTTAATCTCACAAAATCAAGTAAGTGATCACATTCCACCCACATTCCTCCCCCGTTATTCCCCGCAATCAAGCTCAAAGCACCCCACTCATCATCCCCCATAGCGTACCACCCATCAATCTCTCTCTCTCCCTCCCCCATGCTTGCCCAATTCCACGGTGCAAACCAATCACCATACCCGCACATCACCAATCGCAATTGCAGCAGACCGAAAAACCGAAGTCTCAAACAGCCACGCAACATCTTCACTCCATTCCATCAAAACCCAAAAAGATGAATCCACCCAATTAGCAACAGCATACCGTAACACATCAAAACCAAAAAAAAGAAAACGAAGTAAAACAGAGCAACCAGCATACCCACAATCACAATCCCCCTGACCCCCACAGCACACACATTGCTCACGACAACAACAACAAATTTCCAGTTCCGTTGCTCGATTCATCATCCACGCCAGCCCATCGACCGAAGCTGGACTGAGCAAGCCCGATGATTGAGCAACGCAGGACTTAGGATTTCCCTGGAGCGGTAACGACGAAGTGACCTGTGATTCGGCGCGAGCTGAGGCGAGTGGCAATAATTTGGCCCAGCACGCAATGAGGCAGCAGCAGCAGCTGTAGGCAGCGAAGGAAGGAAGGGTGTGTGTGTGGGGGGAGAGGAGGAGGAGCTGGTGGGGGTGATGGTGGTGGCGATGGAGCAGGCTCTACACAACTGACAGTAACTGCAGCAGCTGTTGGGGCTTTCACACGGCGCTCACTTCCTTTCCTTTCCTTTCCTTTCCTTCCTCTTCCTCCTCCTTCTACTCCTCCTCATGGCTTTCCCTCCCCCGGTTTGCAACGCCCACCCAGCTCAGTCTGGACTCTACTGTCGCAGTCTCGGCCATCCCCATCTCCGAACCCACTTCCTTCCTTCCTTCTTCAACAGCCGTAGTTTTATCCTTACGTCCTTTCTTTCTTCCCGATTGAAAGCATCTATGAGCGTGATGTAGTAGATTCTGTTTCGAGGTTAAGGGGAGGGGGGGGGCTACAAGGGGTAAAATTTCCTCGGCCGTGTGCCCCGCAATTAGGTGTCCGGGGTTCGCAACAACTTCTTTCTTTCTATCTATCTTTCGTTCGATCGTTCTTTCTATCTTTCTTTCAGTTTCACCCAGAGCTGCTGCTGCTGCAGGGTTATGACGCGGGGGTAAACTGCCAGACTGCCACTCCCACTTCACCCACACTTCACCCCACCACCGCTCTCCCATCTCTAACCCAACTCGGCCCCCATGCCTTGTTCGTCGTGGTGGGGTCCGCTACTGCTACTTTGCTGCTCGCTCATGGCTAACGTGGCACCAATGAGTCAGAGCTTTGGAAGACGACATGGCATCTTGGAGGCGTATGCCCTGCTGCTTTCCCTCTCCCATTGTGCAGGTCAACACTTGTCTATTCCACTCACACCCCGCAACCAAAAGAAACTCATTCACAAACTGAGAATAATAAAGAATGCAAATAAAAAATAAAACTCCCCCCATTGCTGCCAGTACACGCTGCGATGTTTCAGCCTCAGTAACAAAACTGAATTGGGACGGTGGAGCAGCAGCACCCATCCGACGAGACGGACCCTGGGTTTAGGGGGGCGGCGTCGCCATAAGCGCCACAGCAAGTTGTGTCCATTTGCCGCAACTCTTGTGAGTAGCCAGAATCTTGCGTGAGCGCAATCCGGAACTGGATAAAAATCTCTTGGTCACGACTCGAGACCAATTCCTTTGTAACCATACGTTCGTGCGATTGCGGGAAGCGCCGAACTAGGCAGTTCTGGATCTGCAGAAGTGGACAAGGTTACTGCACACCGATTGGCACGAGGTACAACATCCCGCGTTGGCTTTATTCATTCAAGCCAGATTGGGATCAATCCTGCTTCCGCGTCGACTGCTGCTGCTGCGTTACTACTGATTCCGATGCCGTTGCTTCCATCCTCGGCACTGCACATAATCGACATCATCCTCTGGTGGAGGATCCTCAGGCGCAATTGACACCGCTGCTCTCGCATGCAGCTCGATCCACCGCGCTTCATGAATCACTCTTTCATCACCATCTTCTGCTTCTGCTTCTTCTACTTCCTGGTTTGTTATGATCTTCGGTGAGGTTTCTACTATTGGTACACTTCGCAACGCCGAACTCCACCTGTTGCTGCAGCTCATGAGCTTGCTAAATTCGATCTAGTCCTCCACTTCGCCTTTCAACTTATATGCTCTGAGACTATTGCTCGCCATTTTGCTATACAATTTAATATTCATGCTTGCCTGTGTCTGAGTGTGCGTGTGTGTGTGTGTGTGTGGTCAACAATCAATCAAGCAAGCAATCAGTCAACCAATCTAGTTCTGTGGGCATTTGTGGAACCTGTGAAGAAAGAGAGTGTGTCATTTCTTATGGTAAATTATTAAATGGAAGTCTAGGAAAGCAATTGGAAACAACTGATCATTGTTGTGTTGATTAATAGAGTCGGTGTGTCATATCTGTCAGACTGAAACGTGGGGTTGTGTGTCATTCCTGTCCCTACATGTCAACTGGGTTTTCATCTCACAAAGTTTTTTTTTTATTAATATTTTTTCTCTTAATTGTTAATTTTTTCCATGACATCAAATTTCCCATCATAGGTTGTTGTTGTTATTATGCGAAAATATATATATATATATATATATATATATATTATAATTTTAGATAATTTATTTTATTTCTTTATATTTCTGATTATTATTCTTCTTTGAAATAATAATAATTACATACTAAAAGTTTATGAAAGTTATTCATAAGTAGAAATTCATAAGTCTTAATAACAGTGATCTTTTTCTTTTTCTTTTTCTTTCCTTTATAAGTGATTGATCTAATTTTTGGTTTCATGTTTATTTAATCATTCTAAAATTTCAAATTTTAAACTAAGGAGCAATTATTGATCAATTTATCATGCACACTATTTAACAGAATAATGGGTGATTTTATCCCACCACATTGTGAGAACATTCACTATTTTTTATTTGTGAAATCATGGTGTACTGAAACATGTTATGATTTTTACAAACTAGGTATTAGATACGATTATATCAAACTTTCAAAACATATTGCAAGGTTTATTGCAAGGTTCTTTAGAGGTATTTATCAAAATATTAATATTGAAACTAAATATAATTAATATAAATATTATTATTAATATTTAAATTTCTTTTTTCCGTTCTAAACTTGTCTTATTTTTTGCAGCAATTATTTTTTAAATTCTTCTATTCTCAGAAATATGTGTAAAAACAAAGCTACTCAATAATCCAAATTGTACCAGAGTATCATAAGTGTAATATATTCAGCATTCAAGTACCTGTAATTTCTATTCTCGGAAATATTT